ATATTCATTGACTTCTTACTGCTGTTCCTCAGACTCTACTTGGGAAGAGGGTTGTTGCAGATGTAATTCATCAAGATGAGGTCATACAAAAGAAAGGTGAGCCCTTAACCTGGTATAACTGGTGCCTTTATAAGGATAAATTTAGATGCAGACTCAAACGGAGGGAGTTTGATGGGAAGAGAGATACACAGGAAGACACCATCTGAGGAGGAGGTACAGACTTCTTGGCTTGTGATGCTACCACAAGCCAAGGAATGTCAGCAGCCGCTAGAAGCTGGCAGAAGCAAGGAAGGATCCCTGTATGTAGGCTTCAAAGTGTATGGGCAAATAAATGGTCCTGCTTACACCTTGATTTGAGAGGTTTAGTCTCTAAAACTGTGGAAGAATACATTTCTGTTGTTTTGAGTTACATAGTTTGTGGTAGACAGTCCTAGGAAACTAATACAGAGATTACCCGGTCTAACTCTCAATTTTAAACAGACTAGAATGTAGGCATCTTAATGTGGGGTGGGGGTGGGGACCCTCCAGGAGAGCAATCCTACATGTTCACATGTTCTGTGCCTTAGCAAGACATCTGGTTCAAAGGCAGCCCAGGCTGGCCTTGAACTCATGACCCTCCTGCCTCTGACTAATATGTACCTGGAATACAGATGTGTACCACCATGCCCGGCCCCAAAACCATACAATTATAAACCCTCCAGTCTTTGGGACTGAGTAGAAGTTATGATGATCTGGTCCTGTCTGACCAGACAGATGGTCCTGTCTGAAGGGCTTGAATCGTACCTGATAAGCACCCTATGCCTTTCAAGAAAATTTGTTGGCATCTCTAGTACGTGAGACACTGTTCTAGGCCCGTGGTCACCAGTGGCATGCCAACGGACATGACCACAGCCACGTGCAGCTTCTGTTCTAGTAGACTAGAGGAAGGAGACACATAAAAAGCCCCCAAACAAAAGCCAATAAACAGCTAAGTACCTAAAACAGAGGTGCTGGTATCAGGAAAAACTGAAAGGTGAAGTGAGGAGGAGAACAGGAGGGACCCCAGCAATGGTGGAGTTATTCTTGGTTAAGTCTGGCAGAAAGGCTTCCTTAGTAAGTTGACTCTTTTTTTTTTTTAATCAAAAGCCTAAAGGAAATGAGGGGCCAAGCTGCTTACACGACTGAGGCAACTTGAGCAAAGACCAAGAATAAACCCCTGAAAGTGAAGCCTGCTGGCCACACAGAAGGGTCAGCAATGACTCGGGTGGCAGGAGTGGACTGGGTGAAGGACAGCAGGAGAAATGCAGTCAGCAATGTAAGGGTAGGAAGCAGACCTACCCAGGCCTACCCAGCCTTGTGAACATTGGTCTCTGTATGAGACAGGAAGCTTCTGGAAGACACTGAACAGAGAATAGGCATCAGCTAACTGAGGTGGTTAAACAATCACACTGTCTTTCTTTGAACTAATTGATTTTCACTCCAGGTACTGGGATTTGAACTCAAGGCTTTCACTTGCTCTTTCACTTGATCCATATCTCTAGTCCTTTTGACTTTAGTTATTCTTCAGGTACTCTCACATTCCCCCACCCCACGCCGGAACTGTACCTAGATCTTCCTAGCTCTGCCTTAGGAGTAGCTGGGATTATAGGTGTGAGCCACCATGCCAAGTGGAACTACCTTTTTTTTTTTTTGGCGGTACTGGTGTTTGAACTCAGACATTTGTGTTTGCTAGGCAAGTGCTCTACTGCTTGAGCTATACCTCAAGTCCTAATTTTTATTAAGAAAGGTTATATCTAAATTTCTAAAACTTATCTAAACAATTTCCCCAAATACTCTAAGAATATTTTCAACCAAAATTAGCAATGTGATTTTTTTTTTCAAAAATTGCCTTTTTTAAAAGCTGAATTCAAACATTTAGGTGAATAAATACTAAGAACAGTGATAAACACTGAAGCCCTCACTTTCAATAAGCATTGAAGTACATTCATGTATTTTTTTTCCAAATGTTTCCATTTGCAAAAGAACCCAGATTAATTCCTATCAGTTACAAGAAAAAGAATCTGACAAGATAAAACTCACATATCTTAACTGGGAGGGAAATCGTTTTATGTATCAGAGAGGCCTCGGAGATGGAGTTAACTTGGTCAAAGCCTTTGAGGCAGGGGAGTTCGTTGCTCATGAAACAATTTGTGCTTTGTCAAGTTAACATAACTTGTGGAACACAGTGTTTTACAATATAACTGTGCCTTCTGTAGTATTCAAGGGATGCCTAGGGTTCAAGATCATACTAGAATTTTCTAAACAAAGTCAGCAGCTCCTGTGTGCTTCAGATAAAGAAGGTGACAGTTGGGAACAATGAACAAATGGCACTGCAAGAACTTTGCTAAATCTTCTAAAACATCTTGTTTAAAAGGATTTTTATATGTTCAATTCTCCTTTCAAAAATCTCTGCAAATTTCTTTCCGATTGCTCACAAATTTGTTGTAGTATGTACTTAATAGAAACTTTACCTTCATATACAAATAACTTATAACAAGAAAAAAAAGCTCATGATTAAGTTGTCACTGTGTTGACAAGCCAACATAGATCCCTCTTGCAGTTCTCAGTATCAAGAAATACCCCAGAGTAGAGCTGGGGTTGTAGTCCAGTGATTCAGTGCTTATCTAGCATGTGAGGCCCTGGGTTCAATCCCCAATACTGCAATACCGCAATAAGTAAATAAATACTCCACAGCGTTTGCAGAAAATATCTTGAATTAAATAACAACAAAAACAATGCCTGCCTCAGATCTTGTTTCTTAAAATGTCATGACTATTTGTAGGACTGAAGTTATTATCACTCACACAGTTGATTCTGAGTTTGGAGATATGAAGGGTTGGACACACATCTTCCCTTTCAAGTCAGTCATCAGAATCAATGAGTACACTGGGATATTTTATTTTGAAGGGCGAGATCAACACCATCCCTTCCTGGCATGCTCATCCCTGGGTTACATGTGTGGGAGATGGTGGGTCCTTGGGGCAACCTTACAAAGTAGGAATTATTATAGCAGTTTTATCTGGGAGGTGACTGAAGTCAAGGAGATAAGCTACACAAGTTATGACTGCATCATTCTGGCTCAGCGAGGGTCTATCATGTCTGTCTGACCTCTGAACGCTTGCCTAGTCTCCTTTACAGGCTGGCTCCACTGAGCAACACTGTCCCTTTGAATATAAGGGGGAACATTCCTTACCCAGAGTGCTTGGGAACAGAAGTATTTCAGATTTGGGATATATTTTCAAATACTGGAACATTTGCATCTCCATAATCAGATATCCTGAAGATAGGACCCAAGTCTAAACACAAAATTCATTTATGTTTGATATATTCCTTATACACAGACTGAGAGAAACATTCTGTGGTATTAAATGATTTTTTAAATGTTTTCACTGCAACTCATCCCAAGAGATCAAGTGTGAAGTTTTCTACTTGTGCGATTATGTTAGTGACCAAAAATTTTCGGATTTTGGAGCATTTTGGATTTTTGGATTAGGAATGTCCAATCTGTATTAAATGAAATAAAGTTTAAAAGCTTCACAATTGTCAAGTTATTATTCTCGGCCTCTCTAACTAGTCCTGTTGTAAGTACTGTTAATCCTAAAAACAAAGTGATTTATCTATCTATTCAATTTCATTTCAGTCTAATCTAATTCACCTCCATGACAAAAAGTGCATAAATAGAGGTAGCTTATAGCATGCATAATGTATCCAATTTGTTAAATTTTTACCTTTAAAAGGCCTCTGTTAGGCTATAAAAGAATTCTCCTGCTTTTAGTGTATACATAAATTTGCCTTTAAAAGACACATACGTATGTGGTTGAAATTTTATAAGAGTTATACAATTTGACTTACAAGTCTTTTAAGACATAATTTTTGATATAAGATGGTATCCTTCCGAAAGACACCCAGTCCCTCCACTACCCAAGAGCAGGCTAAGGTCTGTAAACTCGTAACACAGGATTTTCAAATACACACACACACACACACACACACACACACACACACAAGAGCACGAGTAAACCTTTTCTTAACTGCTTGAAAATCGTATTTAGTCTTGTAGAAATTTAAATAAAGTGTCTTAAATGCTGAGAACGGTATCATATGCCCTTGGGACAGCCCTTGGGACAGCCCGAGACAAGTCGTACCTCATAGCACCATCATTTTAGGACTAAATAAACCCCAAAGCACTCTGGGTTAAATCCTTCCACTTCTTTCAACTAGATCTTGTATTGAATTCACCCATTTCTTCAAGCCCTAATTCTACCAAATCAGTATAAGACTGGGGTGTCCTGGCCTTCACAACCATTTCTTCCATCAGCTGGAATCCAGCTCTGTCCTCTGAATTCACACAGTCAGGCATGTGTCTTTCTTCTTGCACGGTACCTATTTGCTGATGTGTGTATTTTCCAACCAGACATGAGCTCATCAACGGTCTATCTGCATCACAATCACTTCTTTCCTTATGTAACCGATAGGCAGAAGGTTCCTGAATACCCAGTACTGCATGTGTACTTAATAATTTCTGATAGCAATAACCAAGTTTTAAAAGAGAATGAAAGTTCAATTAAGAAACATTTTTGGAAGCTTTTGGTCAAGAAAGAAAGGCATAAGAATAAACCTTCTTCAAGAAGTCAGGCAGAGTGACTGGCACATGGAAGTGACACCTTCCATTTCTTCATCTTTGTATAACCTCTAGAAGATCAAATGTTAATACAATATTTATCTTCAGTTGTCACAAGCCTGACTTTGATTTAAAACTCCTGGGTACATGAATGTCATGGCAGACCAGAAATACACCATCCTGTATTTTTCATTTAAATATAGATGTGTAAAAAATTCATATATGCCCGATATGAACAAATTTGAGTGAAAATCTCCCAAAAGTCACGACAAACAAGAAAACCAAATCTGCAAGCAAAGCATAGTATTTGCAAGTCAGTGAAAAATAGCACGTAAATGACACACAAGACACATTCTCTTACCTTCAGGGAATCAAAGCAGGCAATTACTCTTCCGTTTTCAACCTGGCAACTTTTAGGGGGGTGAGCAAATTTGCATTCTTCGTCGGAGCGTGAGCAAGTTCCCCTCTGAAACTGTCTGCAGACTTCTAATGTCAGCCACTTTGTATCTCTGACTGGGGCAACGTTCAAAGCCATGATGAGAACGTACTTGGGATGCTGTCAGTTTTGGTTAAGTGATGAAATCAATCCAAGTTTTAGTGATTCCAAAATTACTGCTGTGAAAACTCCCTCATGTAAGTCCAAAGGTAAGTGAGAAGTTGGTTAATGAAGTCCAATCCAGGAAACAGAGAAATGAGAGAATTTATCGTCAAGCGGTCACTCATCAATCAATATGGCCCACTTGAAGACTGTGGGCTGCAAGACAAGCCCACTCAGGGTCATCTCTGGCTTTCAGTGTCCCAGTCTCTTTACCGTTTTGTAGCTATAGCTCTTTTTAATAAAGTGACTTCAATATCATGGTACTTCTTGAGAGAATATTTCGTGATGACCTCACAGCTATGGATAACGCTAGAAAAATAAGCCTCTCAGATGTTCATATTTTAGCAGGATTTTCTTTCCTTCTTCCTTTGTAAATTCTGAAATTAAACAATTGGCAAAGTCAAACAACTGAGGTGTCTTCATCCGTTCACAAGGTCAAGGTAAAGTGTATTTGACTGAAAAAAAACAAAACAAAAACAAAGATGTGAACAGAGAAAAGAGCTCCCGTGCTGCAAAAGTGACTTTGCACAGATGCTTTCAAATCGTGTACCTGCTCAACACAACGAAACATCAACTTACACTTGAACGATCTACTTAGGTCTTATCTAGAATTTGCAAAAGTGCAGGTTAGAGCTTTGAGTATAATGAGGAAAGTCATGCATTGAAAAAGAAAAAGGAATACGCAGTTGAAATCGTACTGCAGAGTGATCTAGGCAGCAGTCCAAGAGTTAGGAGTGACTCAACAGATGAGTGTGACGGACACAATAATTAGACCTCTGAAACAATTCAATCTAATGCGATTAATGGACAAAACAGTGTATTAGAACTGTGGTTCTCAATTAATTTCACGTTTAGGCCATCGATTTTTATTGTTGGGGATGCAATAAACAATTATTTGGGATGTGTCGCTCCTATTCACTGAAGATGCTGTCATTTTGGATGAAATATGGCTCCTTAGTCTTCATGTTCTTTCTAGTTCACAGAGATCTGAACCTTGAGGGTGAGTAAGCAGTCTTCCTGTACACACACACTGTCTGGTCTAACTACTGTCTCTCTCTCTCCTTACTACTTGCTTCGTGTTAGCTTTCCCTTGAAAAGTGTTTGCCTCACTTGTTTAGGTTGAGGACAATTCCTTGTAGTTTTCTGTTCTATTAGGACCTCAAGAAATGTTTACTGATCAATTTAATTGATGACTAAAGGAATGAGTTTAGCTGAGCTCAGTTTAGTGGGATTTTTGGTTTTGGGGGACAGCACTGGGGTAGTAGTAGACGGGTAGACAGGTGCTCTACCACTTGAGCCATACTCCTAGCCCTCAGTTTAGTTTAAATGTGACATAATATAAAAATACTCTCTTGTATGGAATGCTGGAATTAAAACACATGTCTACAACAAAAAACATAATTTAGTTCAGATTTTAAAGTCAGCACATTTCATGAGTTTTAATTTTTCAAGGATTATGTGATCAGTAAAACATTAAAAATTTAGCAGTAGTAAGGTAAGCATTAACAAAGGATTATAGTATAGAAGTTAATCAGATGCAGGAACTATACACCACAGAAGCTGGTTTGCACATTTCCTTACCCCCACTGTCCTAAGAACAGAGCTAAAAGAACTTACTAAAGTTTGGAAGTAGATTACAGTCATGCTGAACACAGACCATCAAAGACCATAAGACAGTGGTCCCCTAATATTAAAGTGGAGCTGAAAAAGCCCTGTGGCCTAGTGAGGTCTTAGTCACTGTAACTGTGTATCACAGAGCATTTGTTTGTGGAACATGTTTGTGTGATGCTGGTGTAAGCAAACTCACTGCACTGCTAGGAGCATAAAATATAGCACTGTAATTATGTACAGTCGTTTCATTAAACTTAGGTGATAATAATGACAGTTATTGCTTTCTGTATTTACTAGATTATTTGAGTGTACTCATTCTACTTAAAAACATGCTAATTATATACCAGTATGCTGTGTTACATCAACAGCCTCAACTAGCTTGTGTTTAGTATGTCTTTTGATTGCATCAAGAGGCCACACTGAGTGATTGACCTTGACCACCTAGGCTTGTACAAGTACAACCTATGGTGTTTGCACAACGATGAAATCACCTGCTGACACGATTACAGGAAGGTACCCATCAAGAGATGCATGACTGTATTTTAAAATAGTGCACACTAAATAAATTCACAGAGTAATAACTCTTACATGGGCTGCAGTGTGAAAAAGTGGTCCCCAAATAGACTACATTTAGTTAACTCTTGGGCAAACCAAATCAGACAAACTTCCTTGTAATCAGGATTTTCCTGGTCTTGCATGTGCTACAGTGTCTCTGACAGAGAAGGGACCACAATGGTGTCATTCAAGCTTATCCCATCATGGAACATTTAGCAAGCCTCCTCACGGGACTGGTAGGAAACACTACTCCATTCCCATAATTCTTTCACTTGTTTGGAAGAGTGTTTGCACAGGTTATAGATGTGTATGCATTTAAGGAAATTGGCAACGTTGAAAACTGACACATATCTAACTTCAATTATAAAATATTTGAGCAAGCCAGGCAGGCTCCCGCTTGTCTGCTTGGCAGCCTGAGTTCACAGCAGCACATCAGCTCGCTTCAGTTAGGGGAGCTTCAGAAGATGAGTTTAATAACCAAATTTACTCTGGGTCAGGTTTCATAGACTGGCCTGGACCTGCATTCCTTATTACCTCTACTCCCACCTACAAGCCAGTGGAGAACAAAGGAAGCATGGAAAAGAAGGAAGGGAGAAACGAGGGCCAACAAAGTGCTTCTGTCTGTGTCACAGCAGATAGGGTACTAATGACAAGAGGACTTCAGATGATGGGCTGAACATGTTTAGTTCACATTTGCAAAATATATGAAGTCCCCAATCCTAGGTAAGTTATAGGACAAACAAAGATGAAGTACACGCTTATCCTGTGGGAAAAAATCATGCACAGATTTGCATTTCTGCACAGAGCACAAGAACACTCAGGTGTTCCTAAAAGCCATGCAGAGTCAAGGCTTTCCAGGCAGTCTGGGTGATGGTGTGTTCCTTGGTTTCTGCCTTGAAAGAAGAGATATCTCCCCCTAGAGAAAGAGATTCCTATCTCTACTTACAATAAAAAACCAACCCAGAATTCAGATGATCAGGCCCTAATAGGACAAACTTGCTTTTTAAAATATTATTTGACAACTAAAAGCAGTAGTGTATTTTTGTCAAATGTAACTTAATGTTTTAACATGTATTTACACTGCTATGATAAGCTAGTTAACATATACATCACTTACAGATTTATCATCTTTTGTGATGAGAACACTTAAAATCTACTCTCAGTCATTTTCAATATAATGTCCTGTTATCAACTATGATCACTATGTCCTAAAATAAATCTCTTGAACTTATTCATGCTGTCTGAGATTTTGGATCTTTTGACTAACATCTCCCAATTCCCCCAGCCCCAGCCTCTTGTTAGCACCATTCCACTCTCTTGAGCTCATTTTTTTAGATTCCATCCATATATAAATCTTTAATATAAACTTGCTTTTAAGAGCAGGAGTAGTAGCTGGGCTTAATGGAGCACACCTGTTATAATCCTAGGACTGGGGAGACTGAGGCAGGATTTTGAGTTTGAGGCAAGCAAGCTTTCTGATGAGTCACCTGTAAATCAAAGGCATTGTAGAAGGAGCGTGTGTCCCCTCTCTCTCTCTTTCTCTCTCATACACACACTGCTATCATAACCTCTCTTGCATCTACTCTTTCTCCCATTTTGTTCTCTCTTTCTAGACTAAAAGTTGTATAGCAAGTTGTCAAAGGCGCTGCATTCTTGGACTGTCACAAGAGGGTACAAGCAGGCAGTTACAGGAACGAGGAAGAGAGAGCTGACTTGAATTAGGTTGGGGTGAGCAATGTTGACAGCCAAGGATGGAGAAGACCAAATTTTAACATGGTATCAACAGTCAGGGCTAAAATATGCTAACACAGAGTTAAGTAAATGCTGGTCTACAAGACTGCTAGTTCCTGGAGACAAGGGTGAAGTGTTAGGCTGTGCTGTTCAGTACAGGAGCCACCTACATATGGCTATATGGCTAGTGTGACTAAGTCACTGCACTTTGAGTCTTCATTCTTCATTGATTTCAATTCAATTTAAAACTGACTTTCACTTCAGTTACTGGGAGACTTTCAAGTATTATCAGACCAACTTGAGGATATGGATCTGCTTTTTCAATGGTAAATTTTATGAAACCTAAACACAGATCAAGTATTTCCAATGGAAATTTAGCATCCAATGTGCTTTAAATGTAAATATACACTGAATCTGAAGACTTGATATGAAAAATTGATATCTTATTAATATTATTTCATATTTAATTTATGGCAAATTGGTAACATTTTAATATACTAGGTTAACTCTTACTACAGTTAATCTCATCTGCTTCTTTTCACCACTAGAAAATTCAGAATTATATATGTGGCTTATATTTCTGTTGAAAGTGTTACCTTGGGCTTCTGCATATCTTCTATCAGTCAATCTAGAATTTTCTGGAGTGGTAGAAAGTACCTGGTCCTAAGAACCAGCTTCTAGCCTTCATTTTGCCAAGGTTCCTGGTCACTTATTGGTAAGTCAACTGAGCTGAGATCTACCTTCTTCATCTGTAAGCTGTTGATCACGGTCCCTTCTACATTCACACAGATGCTACCACGAATGGCTGATGGTTGAGAGATATAGGACTTTGTAAACGGTAGCGTCTCAATACAAGGGGGATCAAGAGAGCTGCTCTCTAAATATTTGTTGATGAAATCCACTCTTAGACTCTGCCTCCTCTGCAATAGTTTTGTATGGATGGCCAGGGTTAGGTCTGAGGGCAGCTGCCCTGCTATGGATTCTGAGAGCAGGGCTGTGTTTTGAAGATCAAAGACCTGACTGCACAGGGTACCTGGGTCCCTTATCTACAACAACCTCCAGGTTCTTATTCTGTAGCCCAAAAGAACCAGAGAGGTTTCCCAGTGTGACACTGTAAACTCTCAGGACAGACTGTTTCCTGCCTCCATCTTCTGCTAAACCGGAAGTGGATGGAGCACAACCAGGACCCCAGCAGTCACTGGTGGGAATCATGGTCCCAACACTCTTGTCTCAGGAGTTTGAACCTACTTCTGTTGAGGCTACAGTTTCCATTCTTGCTGGCTGGAAGAATGTGAGAAAGGGGTCATGTTTTCAAGCTCACTTTTCCTGAGTAGCACTTCTGTCTGTCTGGAAAAGCCACATTTTCCCTGATTCCCAAAGAGGTCCGAGATATGCCAGTATTAACCCTATTTTGTGCAAGGAACTATTTACCTTCCCTGGAAATTTCTGGGCTGCACTGGAAAGCAAGATCTCTGCTCACATTATTTCCAGTTCTTTCTGTTTAAGTCTCTCACTGACTTGCTGTGCGTCCATTTTTCTCACTTCTTTTAAAATTTTA